ATAGATATATTTCATTGAAAATATTGTGGAAGATATGTTCTCACAGAAATTACTATTCATTCAGCTCTTATAATGTACATATCTTATCCCTAACCACAGCATATCTTTCCTCACCTGCAAGAATAAAAAAGAATTTCCTCACGTTTTTAACAAATATTAAGTGATCGTTACTAAACAGAACAAAGTCATTTGTTTATGAGTCTGAATGATGGTTAAATGCTTATTAGAGATGGGGCTCTATTGTCTAGAAAAGTAACAATTATAAGGTATTTCAAAAACAAATATAAAAGTAAGATGTTCAAGATGTTGTTGAAAATTTGGGCAACACAAGAGAGTTTAAAAAAAATCTATAATTACATTATCCAGAGGGGGAAAAAACATTTAAAATATTTTGATGATTTTTAAAACTAGAATCATTTTGCATATTCTTTTGTACATGGTGCTTTTCACACACTGTCACAAATGTTGTTCTAACTCATCCAAGGATTTTTAAAATATGAATTCACTGTAATATATTTAATATTTTTAAATGAAAAATTTCAAGCTGAAAATTGCTACAATGTATATTCTGACTATTACCTTAGAACAGATTTCTAGAAGTGAGATCAGACGGATCAAGTGAAAGAATATATTTTTCAAGTAAAAATTTTAAGTTATTTTTTGAACAAGTAATACGTGTACATGGTTCAAAAATTAGAATGACCTGAAAAGCCCACACTGAGACATCTTGGTGCCTCCCCCGCCCCCTGTACCTTACTGCTCCTTGTCCCCTCTAGGTAACTTTTTTTGTTTTAAGTTTCTTGTTTTTCCTTCCAGTGGTTCTTTCTCAAATTCCTTCACTTTTGCAAAACGGGAGGATATTTTTACACACTGTTCCATGCCTTGCTCTTTTCCCCTCATTATATATCCTGGAGATCTCCCCATATCAATTTGTAGAACTATTTCTTGTTCCTTTTGTCCAATTGCATTATGTTCCTTGGTGTGGATGAACCACAGTTTATTCCACGAGGCCCCCTGAGTTGTTTTCTTATCTTCTGCTATGATAAACAAAGCTATAATGCATAGCCTGGAAATACGTTATTACATCATGTTAGGGACATCTGTAGTCTAGATTCCAAAAAGTTGGATGTAGGGTGGCCCCTAGGGTGGGCGGGCTCCAGGCAAATATTTCTCGCAGAAGCAATTTGATTTTAAAATGTTTTACAAAAAGCCTTGGGCCCACGTGAGTTATAAGGGTTTATCAATGAAAATTCAGTACAACGAGTAGAAAAGAGGTACTTACGCATTTGTTGATTGTCCAATAAATGCACACACAGATTCCATACAGTGTCCAGGCATCATCGTTTTGTATTCGTTACTGTCAAACGTGCCATTCCGGGCTAATTTCTCCCATTGTTAAGATAAAGGTAGCAAAACTGTTATTACCTGCAACCCTCTATCTCTGCAGAACTTATTTGTATGAAACGGTTTGGATTTTCTGGTCTCTGCCGTTCCCTAGTACCATTCAGTCAATTGCTGTTTACATCCTTCCTCGTGTTACTGCATCCTCCATCTTGCCCCCAGTGAATACTGGCTTCCAGTGACTTTCTCAAAGGTTGTCACTGTGGTTTGTTATGAGAACCACGAATGCTAGTCTTACCGGAAGTACATGGGAAAAATGGGGGGATAATTTGTTTTCTGACCATGTTAACGTTACCATTTGGAATTTCATGGTTTAAGCGTAGAACAACACACCCTCCAATCATGTCTTCTGTTGAACTTTCAGGGTGTGGCTACTGCATTTCTTGATGTGACTTCTTTTGGTGTTGATTGAACCCTGACAAAGATTCAAATGTTAGCCAGGCTCCTGAGATTTCTAGGTCCATTTGTGTACTTCCTTGTAAAATCCACTTTTAGCAAGAACCCTGCTCACTTTCACCAGAACCCTCCACCCTTGAACCTGATCACCCTCAATGTCTGATCACCTTCCTCACCCTTCATCTCCACCCTGCCTCTCCCCCCGCCCCCCGCCATCGCCCAGCAATGTCTGATCACCACGGCCTGTCTTAAACAAAGAGTCCTGTTAAGTCAGCTTAGCGAGAATCATCCTTATCCCCGATCTTCCCTCATAGTAATTTCCCATCCACTCACCCCCACCCTGACTCTTGGCTGCCATTCCCACTGGCCCACGCTGCATTCAGAGCGAGCCCATGTCTCTCCCCCACTGCAAAATTCTATCGCCGTGGTCCCTATACCTATCGTGATGGTCCCGAATGAAGTCCACCTTACTGTCTAACAAGTATCATTGAATTTTTTTTCTTGAACAACCAACCCCTGCCTACCACACACTGTCACCCAGGGGGAGGCTAGGCGAGGGCCCAGGAGCAGAGTGAGAATGGTCCCGTCCACACAATGAATGGCTGCTCCTTGTCCAGTACAATGTAAGACTGACCTGGGAGACCACAGGATCACCACGTCAACTGGAGGCAGGGAAAGCCATCAGCCAGTGGGAGGGCAGTGGAAAGAAGAGGAGAAAGGGGTGGCCACACCCAGAGTGCCGCCTGACAGGTGGCACAGGGCCTGCAGGAGGGTGCAGAGACCTTTCTGGGGGCCAGTGGTGAAGGGCACACGGGGGGAAGGACGCCTGCCACCACCCTGCCAGACTCGGAGGCTCTAGCCCAGAGCCAGTGCCACACTCAGAGTACTCACAGAAGAGATCCGAGGCTCGAATCCAAGGGTCAGCTGTGCACTGTCAGTGGCCCAGAGTTCTGAACTTGTCCTGGTCTGACGTGAGAATCACCCCAAATGAACATGTCACTACCATTCCGGCAACCCATTATCATTCTGGACAGTGGGAGTGATCAGCTCACCACCTTGTCTTCTTGGAACTGGGGCCCATCAGAGTCCTGGGACTGCCCCATTAGCAGGAGTCTGACTTGCTAGGGGCATCTGGTCGACCCCACCCAAGGAGCTCTCCTTGAAGGGGACAAACAGGAGCTGGGGCCATCAGCTTGACGGGTCCCAGGCATTGGACGGTGACTTACAAAAACTGTGAGGTCCTTGTTTCATGCCAATGGAGTCCACACAGGACCAGGTTCGGGTTGGGACACCCTGCCTGGAGGGCACTGCTGACCTTGGCTAGTCCCAGGTACCTGGGGGAGACTTAGAAATAAAATTTCAGTAATTCACTCTAAAAGTAAAGAGTGGGTGAACTTTTTGCGTATAAATAGGCCAGGTAGTAAATACTTTCGGCTTTGTAGGCTATACGGTCTCTTTCACAGCTACTCAATTCTGCTGCTGTAGAGGGGAAAGCAGCCAAAGACAATATGTAAACAAATGGGCAGAGCTGCATTCTAATAAAACTTGATTTACAAAAACAGGCAGTGAACAGGCATTAGCCTACTGACCACAGTTTCCCAACCACTGCATGTGACAGAGGGCCCCGGGCAGAGGCTTCACTTTCTGGGTCTAATGGTGGTAATGGTGGGACTACAGGACCAATGATAAGTGCATCTGTAAATCTGGTAGACATGGTCTGATTCCCCTCTACAGAGTTTTTATCGTGGCAAATTTATCATTTGCTACCAGCAATCTTGTCTGTTTCCCTACAGCCTTGCCAAGAAAATGTTTTACCCGATTTTGAATTTTTGCCAATTTGATAGGTGAGAAATGGTATCTCAGCGTGATTTTTTTTTTTTTTAGTTGAGCCATCCTGCCACCTGTTGGCAGCTCAGTGGCAACTCAGCTCGGGCAGGGCATCAAACTGCTGTTGCTCAGAGCTTGCACAAAAGTGCAAGCTCTTAACCAACTGAGCCACTTGGCTGGCCCCTCAGCATGTGATTTTAATTAGCATTTCTTTCAGTTTGTGTGAAACCGAGCATGGGTTTTGTTTGTTTGCTTGTTTGTTTTTTAATGAACCATCTGTCTTTGGCTATTTTACTATATTCGGTTGCCGGAAAAGTCATGACACATTTTTGCAACGGAAAACATAGAAAAAATACCTGATGACTTCTCCGACAACCCAATATTTTGTTGTTGGTCTTTCTCTTCCTGATTTATAGAAGTTCTTTACATATTAAGGCGATCAGCCCATAACACATCCTCTGCCATTGCTGGATGTAGTGGTCTAGAATTGTCAATTAGGTAAAAGTGGTTGATAGTGTTATTCAGATGTTTGAGATACCTAGTAATCACTTGGGTGGTGGTGTCCAGCAGGCATTTGGAGCTCCGGTGAGAGGTCTGGACTGGAGAAATGAATTTGAAAATAATCGGTATAAATGGCATTGAAAACAGTGAGATGGCTGAGGTCACCTAGGGACAAAAAGGAGGTAGAGATGATAAAAACTGGGCTGCAGTGCATTTCAAAATATAAAGACCGAGACGGAACACTCAGGAAGACAGAGAAGGGGCTTCTAGGGGTGTAGAAAAGAAAGCAAAAGGCAGATTTTGGCCAAGGGAAGAAAGCATTTTAAGGAGGAAGGAGGCTCTGTCAAATACTTTCAGAGACTGAATAAGATGAGAATTCTTATTGAGAATTAGTCACTGGGTTTGGCAACAGCGAGGCTGTTGGGTGACCTTGACAGGAATTCTTTCAGTTGAGTGGTGGGGCCAAAAGCCTGGTCTCCCAGAGAGAGAAGTGATTAGAGAAACACAGCAGGCTGCTGGACAGTTGAGGGTTACCTTGATGTCTGGAGGTTATAAATGTAAAGATCTGTCTGAGCAGTCATAGCACAGGCAGAGAGCTGTGTTTAACCGGAGCTGTCCAGGAAGTATGAAATAGGTGGCAGCGGAGGATGCATGGATTGATGGACCCAAGAATCTAAGCTGAAAAATGAAGAGAGTACTTACTCAACAGTGAAAAAATGGTAAATTAATGGATTGGAGGTCTAGGCATGGCCAAAGCCCAATTTATTATACTCATCAATACAACAGATATCCATAGATCACCCTAGTCTCTTCTGGGTGAATTCCACACAGGCTCCATGTACATCTAGTTTATCAAGAAGTTCAATAAGGCTGGGTAAATATTTCTTAGATTTTATTCTTATTTGAGTTTACAACAATTCAAAGATAGAAGATGCCCATTATAAATGGGTACAATAGACCGTAGATATAAGACAAGGAAGCCCAATTATTGAAAAGACTTAAAAATGTACTGCATTTGGCTATATCACGGATAGACTATGATGTGGAATTTTTGTTGTCTTCCAAAAGATTCATTACCCTAAGTTTCCACTTTATCATGTTCTAAGAAACTTTATTTTTTTAAGGGAAAAAAAATGGTTGGTGGACAAGAATGAGAAATATGTTTTAAAAAGTTATCTGTGTATAAATAAAGTGTCTGATAGATTAGTGAAAGGAAGAAGTTTGGAAAGCAGGAATTTATAGACTGTATAAAAATACTGTAAATTCACATTCTGTAAGACTGATAATAAATGGGGTTTTGTGGGTAAATAAAAGAAGTCGTTTTATCAGTTGCATACCGATGTAAAGGCTTTCAAAAAAACCAGTAAAGAATTTTAAAGGAATCTGTATCCCTTTTACAAGTCAATTCAGCTAACCAGTGACTGATTTTTCCATGTCTTTCTTTTTTTTCCTATTACATGCCTTTTAGACATTTTCTTGCTGTAACCAAGATTAGGTAGCAAAAGAGAAAGCAGACAACTCATCAGTTATCCTACTTATTTATCAGCATCTATGAAAAATGACTAGATCTGGGAAGGGTGGTGGCAATTAAATGTTCTAGGAAATAAGGCATTGTTATTTATTCTAACGTTTTCATTTACCTGTGTTTTCCTTGGTCTTAGGAACATGAATAATTTAGAGTTGGCTGTACTAACTATTAAGATATATCAAATGGAGGTTTCCCTGTCTGAAATCTAAAGGATGTACAATAGCCGTACTCTGTTCGACTTTAGCAGATACTATTTCTCCAGTTGATTTCCCCTCAGATAAGTAGTTGGGTGCCTCTGATACATTTGGAGGGTCACAGAAAGAGCACTGGCTTAGGAATCAGAAACCTGGAATTTAGTCACAATTTGGTCACTGTGCAACCTTAAAAATGTAACTTCTCTAGTTTCAGTTTCTTCTGTTGTAAAATAGAGATAGAAATATCTACCCAATCTATTTCACAGGTACTGTTGTGAGAACTAAATAATAGAGTATATTTGAATGTGCATTAGATTATCTAATGCACTAGAATAAAGTTATTGATAAACGCTTTAACAACGTGGTTTGCTGTGCACTATTTTATGATAAAAAATCAAAATAGAAATCATTGGGAAATATAAATGCTTATGAATCACACAGCCCAAATGTAAACAAGTAATTTATAAATGCTTTACAATAAAATCAAATAAATTATTTATGGATATTTTTAAATAAAATATCTGTGCAGATAAATATTCATCAACTTAACCATTCTTTCTCTTATAAGAATGTTCACTATGTGATATTATAACTCTCCAAAGGAGAAATTCTATAATTAGTTCAGCTCTCTGCCTTAGAAGCTTCATTATAAGGCAGAAGAATGGAATAATTAAAGTTTTAAAATAAGCAAAAATATATAACTCTAAACCACAGTCCCCTTATTTTAAAGAGCTTAATAGGAACACTTCCCCTAATATATTTATAAACAACCTACTGTTTATATAACGTTAACACTAACTCACAACTTAAACCATGATGATCGAAGTTAATATGCATTTTTACTTCTCCTATCAGTTAAATTATTAAATATCTGATAGTCTTAAGAGACTTTATTGAATTTTTTAAAAAATGAATTCTATGTAATATAAAAATGCTTACATATTGAATATCTAAGGTGTTGGTCAAGTGTCTGGAATACAGATCAGCGTTTTAGAAAAATATTTGAGAGACATAGCAGTGTATATGACAGAGTCCCATGTAGAAATAAGCCTATGCAAACAGGTGACATATACAGGCATGAACAATCATTAAAGTAACCCACCAATTTCTCTTTTAAAATGGTAAACCTAAAAATTTCAATAGACTTCCTCAGAAGAGCACAGGAATCGCTCATTCTAAATCTTATAATATCTTGATTATACTGAATGGGACAGTATTTTTTAGTAAGAAGAAATGATCAATTATAATGTAGGTAAGAAATACTAAATTCTGGGTATTAGGAAAATTTTTGGGTCAAATGACAAAAGCATATCAATAAAATGTGTTTAAGAATAACTATATAATATTAATATTCTAATAGCACGGTTGTCTTTGCTATCAGTTCTCCATCAGAAATCTCTCTCTCTCTCTCTCTCACACACACACACACACACACACACACACACAAATCTCATACCACATTATCTCTACAAATGCAGCTCAGCTTATCTTCTGTTTTTGACTATCAAGTCTTTTTAAAAATCAACATTCTTTCAACAAATCAAAGATCAAAAATGATGCACTGCTTTCATTAAAGATCTCTCAAGGTCATTCTGTGTTAAAAGGCAGCCTGCCAGAAACTTGCAGAATTGAAATTACATTGGCATTGGCACAGGGAAATTCATAGAAGCAGGTAAAAGTGAATGTATCTTAGGCTCAGCAAAATATATTTAGGTCAGGTTAGGAGCAAGTAATGGGCAAATTTACCCTCAGCTAGCAGAGAGGTAGGTATAATTAAAATCATTAAACGTTTTCTTGGGCCCCTTTCATTGTATGATATGCTTTGCAGTACAACACACCTGTGAGACAAGAAAGGTTAACCTAGAATCCTGTTTCTTTAACCTGCAATTATAAGTTAAACAATAATAAAGTCCATTTCTGCTATGTCTGTGGTTTTAAAATTATTCATTGTAAACATCCTATATTCTTTCCCGTTTAATTTCAGAGCTTGAGCTTGTATCTAGGTCTATGTTAAATTATCATTTATTCTACGAAAAGCAGCACAAATACTGTTCACTCTGGTTTGAACACAAAGTCCTTTAAAAAATGTTAAGGCCATTTAATTGAGTCAGGGCCAACTGAAGATTACCCTGGCAGAAGTCAAACTACTGATTTAAGATTTTTGAAAAGGAGCCATAAGTGGCTGTCTTGTGTTTTCCTCCTTGGTGACTTAAGAGCAGTTTGTAGGAATTATTAGTCTCCAACATCTCCGTCTCGATCTCCAATGAGCCAAAGAAAATGAAAACTTAAGGCTAACAACGCCGTCCCGAGCAGATCACCCAATGCCGTTAGGTAGGGGATGGAGAAGCTATCCGGGTCCTTCCCTTTCCTCCAGAAGTGATGGACCATCCAGTCAGCGATCCACAGTAAGGTGAACACCTAGAAGAAAACACCAGAGATTACTCCTGTCACCTGGACACGGGACACTCCCAGCCTGGTAAACAGGACCAAAAGCTTAAACCAGTGCTTTCTGAAAGTTAACAGCACGTGTCTAAGTCAAGAAAGATTTAATTAACAGAAAGATTTTCTTTTCACACACAAAAATTCCATTTATCTCTGCAATAAAATTTTCTTCAATGTTTCAACATGTATCTTCTCATTCTCTTCTAGCCTCCCAATAACCACAATTATCCTTATATTTAATAGCACTGTACAATTTCTAAACCACTGTTATGTTTCAACTTCTTTCTATATGATAAACCTGTGAAGATGGAAGAAGATATATGAAGAAGGAAACAAAAATTAAAATTAGGAATCATTTAACATTCTCTTATTGCAGGTATATCAAATGACATAAAGGTGGAGAACTGACCATTCATTTACTAATTATAAGGCCACTGGTGACTTGACAAGGACAATTTCAGCGCAATAGTAAGAACAATAAACAGAAGGTAAGTGCATTGAGGAATGACTTGTCAATACAGGTACAGATATAGATACAGATATATAAATATAGATATAGATATAGACATAGACTTAGAGATATATAGATATAGGTATAGACATAGAAAGAGTCAACATATTTTAAAGGGCTATTCAAATACTAACGTGATATGTGTAAGTATTTTCTAGGATATCAGGACTATGAAGATCTTTGTGATGCTTTGAATTTGGGGATCAGATAAATTTTTTTTCTTTGACCCATGTAGAGTAGGAGGATTCTCTATCAAACTCTAGAAGTACTAAAGGGATTTGGGATTAGAGAGGTTCTGGTTCACTGGTTTGGGACAAGTTGGCAAGTACAGTATAGTTGAGAGTGGTGGAAGAGCACTTCTCTACCACGTACCATGCTGACTTTGAGATAATTAATAAGAGCCTTGGTGTAGGGCGATGAACAGAAAGGTAAAAAGGCACCGCGATCTCAGGTTACACTAATAAAAGCATAATGCAGACCCAGAGAGGGAGTCAGCCTAGCGCATCCTGAATGGCTCAGGACACATCCAGGCCGTGCGTGAGGAACTTGTTCACCCGTGTGTCTTTAGGTTCTAGCAAAGGGCATTAGCTTACAAAGTAGACACTTGACTTCTGACTGAATGCATGAAAATCAGCTGGAGACAATGTCCTATGAGAATAAGAACTGTTTGTCCTGGGCAGGGTGGGTGGGAGATGTAAACTTAACAAGGTTATTGTATCAAGAGACAAGAGTTGCTAACACATCGTTTCAAAGGGTAGAGTTTTAGGCTAAAGGATAAAAGTTACCAAAAGACAGAGCTTAAAAAAAAACACACACCAATTTGGACTGTCTACAAATGGAACAAATTATGTGGTAAACTCTGTATTACTGGAGTAAATGGAGATTCAATCAAGAAATTGGCTGAGATTGAGTAACGTGTGCAAAAGAAAACAATAGTTTTAAAGAGAATGAGGCTTTAAGGTTGGCAAAAAATATACACAAATGAATATTATATATGTATTATAATATTGCATATCTGTATAAATAAATTAATATCATATATAATATATCATATACCTGATACACCTAATTTACTAATTCCTTGGATAACATCTGCATTGAATGGGAGATTTGTCTAGAGCAGAAGTTGGCAAACTATTCAACTGGCTGCCTGTTTTTATAAATAAAATTTTTTGGAACACAGTGCTACCAATAGTTTACTTACTGTATATTTCATATACTATTTAATCCTCAGATCATTCTCATAAAATAGGTGCTATTATTATCACTAATGTTTATTTGGAGAAACTGAGTCAGATAAGTGAAGTAACCTGCTCTGGCTCTATGATGATGTAACTATGTAGTTGTGACAGAAACCACAAGGTCCACAAAACCAGAGATATTTGCTATCTGGACTTTTACAGAGAAGGTGTGCTGACTCCTACTCAAAAGAAAATTCTTACTCATATAGAGAGAAATAAAATCGCATCCTTACCTCATAACCCCATATCAATTCTAGGTAAAGTCTCAAGTATAAGAAACAATACTTAGGGCCGGCCGAGTGGCACATTGGTTAAGAGCTGGCTTGGGACGCCAGCTCTGAGCAGCAGGGCCCTGGTTCAGATCCCACATGAGGGCCAGTGACGCTGCGCCCTCTGCAGCTAAGATGGTGAACAACAGTTCAACCTGGAGCTGGGCTGCTGTGAGTCGCCGGCAACAGTGTAGGCTGCAGCCCCTGCTGTAGTGGGCTGCCGTAAGCTACCGTGAGTGGCTGGCAGCCAGTGTGAGTTGCCAAGAGCTGCCATGAGCAGCCATCCAGTGGCTGGCGACCGATCTGCCTCATCAGGGAAGAGCGCAATGATCACAATACCAACATGGGCCAGTGAAACGACGTCCTCCACAACTAGACAGAAGAACAAAAAGGACAGCAACTTGTCTGTTCCCCTTCCCTGATTCCCCAACACTGTTCCCCTCTCCCAATTCCCCAACAAAATCTAAAAAAAAAAGAAAAGAAACAGCACTGAAAAATACCATTAATTAAGTTAGAAATCATACAACAGGCCTGGAAAAAAATTTCTGCACTGCATATAACTGTCAAAAAATTGGTATTCAGAATATTTAGAATACACAGAGACCTCCTACAGTTAATAAGAAAAAGAACTAATCCAATAGAACAGAAAAGTAATCTAAAGCTCCAACAAACATATGAAAAAATGTTCAACTTCACTAAGAATATAGGAATGCAAATTACAACCACGTTAAACTCCATTGCATACCTTTCTGACTGGCAAAAATCAACTTTTAGACCACAATAATAGCAAAGATTGTTTTTGAAACAGTCTGTTGTGGGGCCATGCAGTGTTCAAAGTGGTTCATGTGTATGAAGTGAGTGAATTCTCAAAACATATCTATAATATGCTACGGATTATCACACCCTTTTGGGGCATATGTGGACACTTAAGGCGTATGCAGAGTATAAGAAACCTGCCCAAGATCACACAGCTCGTAGATGGAGTCAGGCACCAACTCACACAGTCTAACACTAAAGCCCAAGTTCAAATCCATCAGTACAGTGGGTTGTTTTGGTAAATAAGAACTCTACATGGGCAACAGGAGTGTGAACTGGCACAACCACTTCAGAGAGCAATTTGGCACTATCTATTAAAATTGAAGATATGCATCTCCTTAATTCAGCAATTCCACATTAAAAAACCCCAGTATTTTTTCCTTCTGCAACATGGATGGGTAAAAGGATAAAACTGTTCATGGGTCAAGGAGACTGGCCTGGAGTCTCTGCTGACCCCAGATCCTATGGGGCTGCCCAAGGACTGAGAGGACCAATAGCTTCGTGTGCTTGTGGAAGGTTGGCATACATGCACACCAAGAGAAATGTGCAAGAATGTTTGTTGCATCATTGCTGTAAAAGTAAAAAATTGGAAATAACCTAAAATGTCTGTTGACAGAAGAATGGCTAACTTACCTCTTAGGTGATACAACTGAACACTACACAGAAGCTAAAATGAATGAGAAAGAGCTACATGAATTGATACGAATATGTCTCAAAAGTATAAGGTTGAATGAAAAAAGCAGAAGACTATGTAAAGTATATGATTCTAATAAGGTTTATAAATATGAAAGGCCATCCATTATTTATAGACACACATCTGTAACTATGGCACAGCATGGCAATGATACCACTTCAGATGCTGATAACTGCTGGGGGGGGGGATGAAATGAGACCAGGAAGGGGCACACACGAGGCACCAACCACATAGAGGATGTATTTTTATTGATCACTTTGAAATAGTTGCTTCAATAATTTGTTAAGCGTTGATGAAGCTGGGTGGTCAATACATGGGTATCTTATTTCCTACAACTTCCTGTACATTTGAACTTCATAATAAAAAAATGGGGCAGTGGTAACTCACTGACCAGGGCGGCCCGAGCCACAACTTAGAATACCTACATGGAGGGATACCTGGGGAAGGAAGTCAGTATGCCCTGCAGACTCCATGAAAGGTTTGACCTATAAGTACCAGGTGGTACGAGGCTTATTTAAGAATTATTTCAATGTCTGTGTATGGACTAAGGAAATGTCTACATTCTCTCATCATGCTTGCAACTCTCCTCTCCAGGTAGGAAGATAAAGGGGTGTTTTCTGCGGAAACCAAATGGGGAAGACTCAGGACTCAAGGACATTAGGAACCATGAAGTATTGGCTGAGAATGAGGATGAACTGGAAGTCTGCATAGTTAATGGTGGGATTCCTTTAGACCCTTATGGTGTCCCGAGGACAGAGGCAGTAGCAGTAGAACCCCCCAAGAGAAGAAATTAGACATTCACATTTGGAGGACTCCCAGTGAAGTGGCCACCTGCCCCCTGCCCGCCCCATCCTCCAGTTGTAAAGAGCCCAGCCAATAGCCCTCTCCAACATCCAAGCTACTTAACCTCTCCATGCTTCAGTCTCTCCCTACAAAAGAGAAAATTATCTCATAGAGATGATGATGTGAGGATTAAATAGTGCAGAATACTTAGACCATAATAAATATTTGCTATAATTAAAAAAAACAAACAGGTCATATATGAAGAAACAAGAATCTGACTTTTCCAACAGCAACACTGGAAGACGAGGGAGCAATGGCCTCCAAATTCTGAGAGAAAGTATTGCCAGTCTGTAATTCTGTGCCCAATTTACCAACCAACTGTTGAAAGTAAACGAAAGGCATTTTAAGACACACATGCACTCAGAAAGTTTTCTCCATGTTCTCTTTCTTTGAAATGTTCTTGAAAATGGATTCATGCAAAGCTAGGGAGAGAACCAAGAAAGAGCAAGAACTGGGATCCAGGAGATACAAGAGCCAACCTGAGACAGCAGTGACGGAAGGCACCAGGAGCAGAGCTGTGCTGTGGGCTGGGAGCCAGTCACGCAGAGCAGGAAGATGAGTGCTCTGGAAATGAGGTCTCCAGGATAAAAGCAAACTGGCAA